ATATAGATACATAAAATACATTAAAAAGCTTGATCAAGTATTTAATATGAACTAAAACTGTTCATGGATCAGAAAATAAAAATCTAAAAAAGAGAAAAAAATAAATAAAATTTGTAATAAAGTTGATGACATTTCCCTCACAGATCATAAAGATTTAAATTAAGAGAGTGTGAAAAAGACATTACTCACTTGTGACCACCACCTGTGCATCCAGGTGTGTTTCCTGCYCGGTGATGACGTGGCGAGCGGAGCATCTGTATGCTCCAGAGTCTCCGGCACTCAGGTTGCTTAACAACAAAACTAGAGACGTGGAAAACTCCCCCAATGAGGGCTGACGACTGTTTAACTCAGAATTAAGGGATTCCCCTGTGTTGTTTACGCGATGCCATGACAACTCCGTGTACAGGTACTTATTTGCTGAGCAGGTGAGATGGAGGTCCCCGCCCTCTCTGGCCTCCTCCAGCTGATTTACACTAAAGCCCCCTGGGACATCTGAGGGAAACAGAAAGAGGGTGAAGAAGTAAAGCAGGAGAGGAAGCAACACACGACACTTGTCGGACCTCCTGTTTGGGACAAATCGGCCCGCTCAGTGTCTCGACATGGAGCCTGAAACCAGGATTCCACCGATCCTCCACTTTCCAAACCTTTGATGACAAAGTTGAATGGCTATTGTGGGCAAAAACAGCTAGTGGAATACAGTGAAAAGACTTTTTATTTACTTTAGCCATTTGAAACTTCCCGTGGAAACGGCTTGAGAGTTTCCTGTTGGCAGATAGTGTTTATCTTTACCGAACACCCCAAGGCCTCCAGAAATAAAGCGGACCTGCCAGACCAAGGAAGTGCGCTGCATGGGGAAGTGGAACGATAAGAGCTCCAGGTTCCTGTTTCGCTCTTGCTCACATACAACCAGACAACACCGACATATACACATTCCTTTACATTCACAAAAAAACTGTTTGACCTGCATTGCTTCTGACCTAAATCTGGTGTTGCCATTGCACCAAAAAAAAAAAAAAAAAAAAAAAAAAAAAATCTAACTAATCAATGTGTAACTTCTTTAGTTTCCACTTCATTTCACAAATCTGCACTTTAATGTGTCTTGTAACTGTTGGAGATTTCTTCCTATCCAAGTGTGGAAATTTGTGTTCAGTTTCACTTTTGTTATTGTGCTTTGCTCTGTGCTATAAAATCAAAATAACCCGCAGATCGTKTTGTAGATTTTAAAAGCTGAATTTGGTTAAAATTCAACTCACATTTTGTGATGCTGCAGGAAAGTCCTGCTTTAGATTTAGACGTCAGTTTGAGATCAGCTTCAGCATTAAAGTGCCTGTGACATCAAATTTTCGTAATAAAWATGAACACATTTTTGGAAAGACAACATTAATAAAATATTGCAAAAACTAATTTCACACTGCTGACATGAAAYGTTGTTGAGACATTTGCATGTGAAGAAACAGGAAGTGACGTCAAAGGGGAATGTCTGCATGTGAGCAGAGTGATGCTACAATAGCTAACACAGGCTGTAGAGAAGAATCTGAYGTTTCTTTAGATTATTTTGAGTCACGATCAGAGAGATGAAGAAGAGTCAAAGTTTACATATTATTTAAAGACTAGAGTTATCTTTCTTAAAGAGTTCCCCTTTGATGTCACTTCCTGTTTCACTTTAGCTGAGTCAAGTTCAAAAGAAAATATGCGATTTATGTGACAAAATGAATAAAATCATGTGTATTATGCAAAGTTTCTTAAATATAAAGTTGTTTTATTTGACTTTCTGTATTTGAAGTACAGTATATACACATCACAGGCACTTTGAGATCTTTTTAGCAGCGTGGGAAAATTGGTGCAATACCTTTTACGTCTGCTATTTTCATGCTTTATCCTGAGTTGTGTGCTATTTTTGAATTGAATTGAATTGAGAAGATGTCTTTTCCCTGCTACTACAGAAGCTTGTAATCGACAACAATCCCTTCGTTCCTGCTAAAATGTTTTAAATTTAATTACAATTTTTAAAATGTGAGTTTTCTCTTACAACAATGGATTTATTAAGTAGTAGTTGAGAAGACAACACTTGTGAATACTCCTCTTGTCTGACATTACCTGTGACGTAGAAGGGGAAGTCTAGCTGATCTGTGTCTAAAGAGTTGGAGGCGATGCAGCGGTAGACTCCAGACACTGAGGCCTCTGCAACAGTCAGAACCCCCACTGTCTGCAGAGAACAAAAACATCCTGATGAGCAGGGCATGAAATTATTTATGGCCCAAATAAATACACAATAAAGGTTTCTGAGCCGGACATCCTGCCATCTTACAACTACCACACAGTGCCCAAGCTTTCTATTATAAGTACTAGTGTAGGTTTCTCAGATTACTCTGATGATCGATTGGCACGTTCACAATGTTGAAGAGGAAATTTTGCATCTTCTGTGCGTTTTACCTACCTTCTTCTTCCCCTGCAGCACTTCCTGTGTGTGTGTAACACTCAGGATGGGGTTGTATGCAGATGAAGCAGGGAGACTCTCATTCACAGGGCTCCATAACGAGGAGGATGTTGGACACACGCACCTTTGAAGGAAAAATAGGACCAGGAGAGGGACAGATCTCAGCTGTGTTGACAGAAGACATGATTTGATAATTCCAGGTGTGTGAGTGGGTGTATTTTTCCTCAGCTGTGCTCAGCAGGGGGAGGATCTCAGTCCTGGGAAGTGTCTTGGTCATTGGTGCTTGATGTGACTCACTGAAGCATTTTTAACAACAACACCATGTCCTCTTTCCCTGTTCTTCAAGCTGAAATTGGACTGTTTGACTTAAGAGGATGCAGGGGTGGTATTGTCATCCTGTCAATTAGCTTCCTTCCATTCTTAAGACATCATCCCACATTTCCAGGACCAAAGTTCCTGTACCTCAATGACTAGCACAAGCCTGAATCCATAGATTACACACCAGGGTGGGAACTGGAGCTTACGCAAACCAAACCACACAACTCGCCTCATGACGAAAAATCGTGAAGTCACACAAGAAAAGGAGAAGAGGCTTGATAACTTCGCTCTGTAGTTCAATGGAAAATTACTCTCCCCTCAAGGTTAATTTGATGTTCTGACACAAACTTGCTGCCGTCATGCATGCCTACTTAAATCATAAAGATGAACATTTTAGTTCAGTCAGAAAGTGACACATTTGCCATTTTTACTGAACTTTTGCACTTAATTTAACCAAATCTCTTTTAAAATCTCCTTCATGAGTTTTTTTTGTTCACATTTATTTAACTGACATGTATTTTAATCTTCTTTTGCATTTCATATTCAAGATATAATAATGTATTAGATCACCACCTAAATTATCAAACAAATACAGCAGGGATAACTTTTTAAGACCAAGAGGATTAAATGGTTTTTTAATTTAAAAAAAAACAGTGAACACCAACAAACATTTAACTGTGATGGCATTACCTATGCTTCTTGTTCTAAACTATCCTTCAAATTTTGGGAATTCAAATTGCGTTAAATAAAAGTACCTGTTAGACCACATGAATATCTTTAAACCATAAAAGAGGAAGTTTTGATGTAATTACAGGCAGTGTGTTGGAACATGTGAGCTATTGTGTTTTTTTTCATTTTGTAATCTTTTGCAATTCTAGTTGTAATCATTAACTAATTAGCCTGAAAAACCAGCCCCTTCTTCTTCCCTTTGCTTTTCTACAGAGGAGTAGAGGAGGTGGATTAGAACCAACCGTAGGCGGCCAGGCTATTAACTAATAGTCTTACTACCAGGATTACACATGTGTATGAGTCAGAAAGAGTTACACACACTGCTAAGACTGAACTGGTATTCAGTCATAGTATTGCAAACTGAAAGCTTTGTTTGCTCAGGAAGTGTAAAAAAAAGGAATTTATTAGATTTTCAGTTTTTTTCAAGGACACACACAAACAGATAAAAAAGATTTTGCATTTTAAGATGGTTTGGTGTTTTGTTTAAATACCTAAATCTACAATAATGTTAAATATGGACTATAACTATATATATAATACAAAAATACATTACTCTGAAAACAGGCTTTAAAATATATTAGTTTATGTGCAATCTACTGTATGTTCTCTAGTCTAGAAACATAGTCTATATAATTTTCCTACTGGTATTTGCTTTGATTAAGCTTTATGTTTATGTGTTGTTGTTTATTGGTAAAATGAATATCTTAATAACAACAATAATAATCCAATTTTGTACTTCGTATTTCAAATATTGACCTTTTTTCCAAACAACCCCACCCTCGTCGACAAGCAGGTTCAAAAGCTATTWATGCTAATGACACTAAGTTACAAGCTGTTTGAAAAGTTTTAAAAGTAATTTTAAATGAATGTTTACACTAGACTTACCTTAACACAAGGAGCAAAAATAGTTGAWTGAAATTAAAATTTTTGCTTTTCCAGCTTTGCTGTATTTTTAACGTCGATTTTAGGATGCTAATAATGCTAATAGATGAGAAGGAAGAAACCAAATGAACTTTACAGAGGGGGGGTTCACCTGCTTAAAACACAACTAAATCCACAAGAAAGCACATATGGCGTGCAAATCTTATGTGATAAAGTTCTTTGAAAATGTTTACTATGATTCTGAATTAATAAGTTTCATTTTTCTCTTAATTTGATGGATGTCATAATGTATTTGCCCCCTTTTTATGCACATCTTTAGGTCCAAGTGTCATGCGCATGCGTGAAACAGGTAATCGTTTGGCTGACTTTTGTACACGATCTAATAAATGGGATTTATTGGCATTTCTGATGTGCTAGCATACTTGTATACACAGCAATGTTGCCGGATGTTGGACTGTCTGCAGAGCAAAGCTAAAACGTACTGGTAGGTAGATAATAACACTGCTTGTTGTATATTTTATGAACAGGATGTAGGCATCCAGACCAAAGTACATACACTGCACATGCACATCAAGAACTGTATTATTCGATGCTACAATATCCAAATAGATCGTTGACTATATCTTTACATGCAGCTTTTATCTGTTTATATATTTTTTGATAACTATAACCATTGATTTCATGTTCCTTTTTATATTAAAGGAAACTTATTGGAAAGTCACACCTGAACCAGAATGGTCAAATAATAAGTAAGCTATTGTGGAGGAATCTTAAAATAATGCTAAATCATAAAACATTGCACCTTCGTTATTTGACATCCACAGAATAAACGATCATTTCCACTTTGCTCATTGATCCTCTGCCTGTTTAGGAATGTGCCACTGGCCTTCACTGCTCCCTGTCTCTCTCTCTGCATCCTTGTCGTCATTCTTTTTCTGTTTTCCTGGGCCACTCCCTGAGCTTGGCTCCTCTCTGCTCCTTGATTACTTTTCCTCTTGGCATTGAGATAGTGCGTGCGTGCGTGCGTGCGTGCGTGTGTGCGTGTGTGTGTGTGTGTCTAAAAAGAAAGACCCACCCTGTGCATGACACCACAGGCTCGACACACACGGTCAGCACAAACGCACATGTGCACATGTACACCCACCTCCTCGCCACTCAGATTAACCAACACTCCCACGCTTCACAGGAAAAATCATTCTCACTCAAAGCTGCTTTCWGACTCAGATAAAATTAGTAGGATGGATGTAAGGACATGGATACTGTTAGAAACAAACAAAAAGTAATGATGCATGCAGACATTCACATTCATACAGTGTGTGCCTGCCAACAGGGTGAGCAGCCTGAGTGGACGGCTCTAAGTTTTGTATCAGTGGGGGTCGTCTCCTGCTCTGCTCTGTTCCTCCTGTCCTGTTCTTCTGCCTGAAATACACGTTTACCTCTGTCCCTGGAAATTCCTGTCCCACCCCCCAAAATAATCACCGGACTGTACGAAACCAGTACACAAACGTAAGCAAACTTTAATGCAAAAACACAAAGAAATGATATAACACTTCATTACATCTTAACAGATCCATACACAGTTGGCAAATATTGACATTTCCCATATGTAAGTTAGTTGTATAAAATTATTAAATATTAGATTCATATATTACTCATTAAACTTCTGTATACAGAGACGGAATCACATTGGCAGACACCCGTAAAATGGGATACGTGCATACACACACTCTTAAACAAACTACACATACTGACCAGTTTACACATATACTCCCCCGAAAACCCCACAAATGACACTTTTGTCTTTTAAAAATGGCTTATAATATCACACATACATTTAGGTATTAACTTTTAATACAAATATACCATGGCTGTTATACTGACATCATTTGACACACAAAGAAGACATTTTATCATGGGATGACAGCGGACAACACAGGATAGTCTCTGGTCTGTGCAGACCTCCTACATGGTAGGCTTCTGCCAACCTTTTAGTCCTTTAATGGAGAGCTGAAGGCGTCCCATGATGGGCAACACAAAGCTTGTCCTCTCTTGTTTCACCCGTCCAAGGTGAGCACGTTTATCCTTCACACCTGCGGCTACAAATTGAGACAAAAACTCACAGCTTTTTTTTGCGGATGCCAGAATCAGATCGGGGTTTGAGACAGGTGCCGTTCATGCACCCATTATAGTACCACTCTAGGACACAATTTAAAAAAAAAGGCAAAGCAGCTCCAGAAATGCAGTTGGTGAGCAGATGGAATTGCATTTGTTCTGGCTCATAGTGTCTGTGAAATGTAACAAGCACAAAACTACAGGTTAGCCTGGTGTGGGGGGTGGAGGGGCGGCCTTGATCTGGGCAGAAATAAATAAACAATCAGTTTGATTCTTAGCGTTGTGGCTTATTTAACTCCTGTGCCTTCTGGTCTTCACTGCTCAGCAGTGCTCATGTCTTGTTCCTCAGTTTACAGTTTGTCAGGCACAGGATCGTCGCTGAGGGTTCTGGCTGTAAGTGGGGGGGCTTAATGAGTGGGAGGAAGAGGAGGTGAGCTCCAGGGTAAAGGCCGTGGGGTGTAGTTCCTCTGTAGATGTGGGGGATGCTGGGTTTGAAGAGGAGGGCAGAGCTGGTGAAGGAAAAGGTTTGGAGAGGTATGTGTGTGTGTGATGGGGGGTGGGTTGGGGGGTGCTGCAGCAGAGTTGCAGGGAATGGGTGTGTGTGTGTGTGTGTGTGAGGGGGTGGGGGGGTGCACTCAAGAATAGATCAAGCTTTTGAGGAAGCGGACTGTGCCACGTTTGAAGACGAAGGGACAATCACGCCGCTGGGAAGCGTCTCGCGTCGGAGAGGAAGCCAAACAACGAGAGGAAAAGCGCTCTGATTATTGCACAGGAAGCCCAGCGCGCCTCCTGCCAGGGCCAGATAAGAGCGCCGCGGTTCCCAGGGCCAGACCCCAGGAGTGGACCCTGGACCCAGGCGAGAGACCACCCATCACTCTGGGCCTGCCTGGCCCACTGTCCCTGGGCCTCCTCCGGCACGGCGTCAGGCTCGTGGTGCAGCCGGGCTGCAAAGAACAAGGGGCCCAGTGAGGATCCAAGCAAAACCACTGATCCAAAGACACACACTGAGTACAGACGTTTACACTGAACCAGAACAGAGCTTCACAAAGGACCACAAGTCAGACAGCGAAGAGGCCAGCTGTAATCTGCAAAAACATCACAATCAGCTGCAGCTTTCAATATATAGGTTCTCATGGTTTTTATTTTATGATGGATTATTGAATTGATTACAATCTACAGATCATTATTGAACAGAACACTGTAGTTTTAATGCACCCAAATGATACCTAAAAAAATAGATGTCTTTCACACACGCAGATTGCATCTGACCTCTTCAAAAATAAATATGCAGAGTGTACAGCTTTTACCATAGATATAACAGTGATGGTGTAATTCATTATGTAAATTATTTTGGGTGTCATGGCTTGGTGCCAGAGTGCCGGGGTCACAGGTCAAGTACGTGGGTGAAGTCAGCGAGTCTCTGAGGAGGGGTGCTCTCAGTTAATACTTAACCTCTCTGACTTGGCTGTTAGGGACACAATAAGTGTCTCGCCTCCAAGAACAGCTCGGAGTTCCTGCCAAGTGACTGCTTTAACACTCGCGTGTGTTTTAGGTTGACGGTTTCTGTCCCGGTGCATCCCTGGGTTGGGCCATTTCTCATGAGAACTTTGTATATAGTGTGTCAGATATAAGAGAAAAAGCATCACAGGATGCATGGTGCAATCACAATAATAAACAGGCCTCTCACCCTGCGTCCTGCACGGGAAATTCATTAAATCATAGCGTTTGATTTAGAAACCAACAAATCGTGACTGAGAGCACGGAACTGGCCTCTTTTGATGTGCGGATTTTTTTTTTCTTCCCCTGTCCTTTTAAGTTTGAGATACACCGTGTTCTGTGTCTGTGAAGGCACACACACAAACACAAAAACTCACACACACAAACACACACAAATATATTTTGCATATTTATATGCACTTGAACAAACATGAGGGGGGAAAAAAGTGCACAGAATGAGAACAGAAAAATGGAAAAAGAGTTGCATGAACTAACAAACACAAATACAGGCATGACAAAAACACACCCTCACATGTGGTGCACACACACACACCCACCCACACACACACACACCCACACACACACATTCTAACACATTCCAGCACATAAAAGGCCTTAGAATGCATCTGTTCTGGTTACAAGAAGGAAATGCTGTCTGAGCACATGCTGACAAAGACAAAACATGTCTGTTTTTTTTTAAATCACACAGACACACAGACACACTAACAACTAACGTACAGTAAAATAAACATCCCTGAGCGTATCATTATAGTATTACATCACTTTTAGCCTTACAAGCCCAAATACACTCACAATGATCTCATCTAAATAAACAGAATCTGATAAAATTACAATAGACGTCATATTTTGCTGCAGTAACGTTTGTTGAGTTTAGTTAAAATCAAGTTGAGAATTTTTTTTTAACTATTTAGTACAGAAGAGGATTAAAGTCACAGAGCAAAAAAGAAATAATTTTTTCCTGAGTTCCGACTTTAATCTTAAAAAATAAAGTCGGAATTCTGACTTTAATCCCAAAGTTTTGAGAAAAAAAGTCAGAATTCTGACTTTAATCTCAAAGTTTTGAGAAAAAAAAATTTGGGGCCCTAATCCTCTTCAATAATTTAGTTTTCTTTATATTTTGCTAAATTTATGGTACTGAACCATATAGTGAACAAAACACCTTTTTTAAGTTCATTTGACTTTAAAATCAAATAAATCAGTTCTGGCAAAATGTGATCAGTAAAAATTATTAAAGCTTGTTTAGTCTTTTCCAAAGACACCTAAAGCTGCTTATGTATCTGCAGCACTTCTTCGGCTACTTACAGGCCTTTAGGTGGGCAGTGGTGCCAGCGCCACTGAATGTGCGGCAGCGGGACCCCGTGGGACGTGCAGTGAAGCTTTTTTCTGCTCCCCCGAGGCACAGAGCCGGGGTCTTGTAACGACACCGCTTTCTCCCCAATCTGAGGGCTCACTGGGGTTCAAGAAGCAAACACACACAGATGCTAAAGCAACGTTGAACAGCTGCAGTTAGAGAAGATGATCAGGGCTGAGSCTGAGTTACTTTAACGTGACTCACCATTAACCACGAGTGTGAATGTGAGATTCTGGTAGAGTTTGTGTTGCTGGATTTCCACACGGACTGTGTAGTTCCCAGCATCCTCCTCTGCAACATCCCTAATGATCAGGGAAGTCCCATCCTGTTGGTATCTGGAACACTGGTCTTTTGCATTCCTGTTGTCCTTCAACCTGCCGTAGGCCATGTACATTAATGCTTAATGGAAGGAATTTATGACATTCCAACATTTTACCAAATATACAGGCTTCAATTAAGTAAAAATAAGGTTTAAAGAAATAATTTCTCTTACCAGATAACTTCAGGGGCAGGGAATGCTCGCAGTTTGGGAGAGATTTTGTAAGATTTCTGCCCCGCTTGGACCACCAGCACAGATTCATTTCTGGGCTTGAGTCGTAAAAACGGGCGATCTGAAATCCGGRAGACATAGAAACACGTTCATGTAGGGGAGCAAATGCAGAATTTTGGTAATTGTTGTGTCATGAGTCCTTATCTGAGTGACTCATTGTACAAATGAAAAATGATTCAAAATGAATTCATTGATGCAATCTGAGCATGTGATTGTGGTGAAACGTCAGGACGTGGCAAGGGAAGGAGACTCACTGTAGACCATCACGGAGACCAGCTGCTGTTTGTGTTGCTGGCCGCTGGTGACGTGGCAGGTGTAGTCGCCTCTGTCTGAGCGCTGGAGCGCTGGGATGATTAGGATGCTGTAGGACAATATGTGCATTCGATGTTTCACCAACCTCCTAAAACTGGAGCCGGCGCCGATGCTCTGAGAGAGAAAGAGAAACGAATGAGCACGGGGAGAGCTCTTACAGTCGTTTTCTAATACGACATTAATGTGATTTTTTTTTAAAAATCATATTTTTGTGCTGGATTTACAGCAAACAAGGATTGCTTTTTTCAATCTRATGTTTATTTCTTTGCTTTTTAATCTTGTGGAAATCAATTGATGTATTGTCATTTATTGATAAGCTGTTGAATAGCAAGRAAGGGGCTAAATAACACATTAAAGAGGCTTCTTGACAAGTTTTGCGATTAAAGAAAGTATTTGTATTCAATATTTTGCTACAATGCAGTACACTATGATACAGTGTGATGTCTTGTTGCATTGCTTTGAATTTGAYCATGTTCACTTTTTAGTGTTACTTCCTTCAAAAGCAGTAAGTATAAGTSAGTGTCGTACAAATAATAGAAACATTCCAGATTAAATGTCCTGATGCATCTCAGTAATCCAGGTAGAAAAAAAATCAAAAAGAAAAAATAAGTAGGTYCTCTGGATGGGTTCTTCTTTAGTGAAACATTTCRTCTCTCGTCCAAGAGACTTCTTCAGTCTGATGAGTTTCAGGTGARCTCAGCCTTATRAGCACYGCCTCCATATGGTGGACAAACAGGTTAGTCACATGCAAAAGAGGGCCATCGCCTCACTGCATACAGATAACACGACATCTAAGAACCATGGCATCCAAACCGATAAGTCAGGTGGTGGAGCACATGACCCTCTGTGAACAATAGAGCTAATCAAGCCTATTGTTAGGCGATGGCCCTCTTTTGCATGTGACTAACCTGTTTGTCCACTAGGTGGAGGCAGTGCTTATAAGGCTGAGTTCACCTGAAACTCATCAGACTGAAGAAGTCTCTTGGACGAGAGACGAAACGTTTCACTAAAGAGCAACCCATTCAGAGGACCTACTTATTATTATTTTTTTATTCCTGATTACAGTTGTTACCCAGACAGGAAATATACACCAGGTTGCCAAGTAGTAATCTGTTTGTGTATCAGACTGAGTCAAGGTTCCTCACAAAGTTTCCATTTCAGCCAAAGCTCTGCTGTTCTTTCGGACCACATGTTTCTGCCCGGCAGAAGGCAGGTCTGACCTTTCCAGGGTAGTCCCAGGTGATGTTGACTCTGGTGTTCAGCTCTGCGGTGGCGGTGCAGTTCAAGGCCAGTCTCTCGCCCTTCAGGGCCTGCACATGTGTGCTGGTGTTCAGAAAGACCGCCGTGATGTTGTTCACTGAGACACGTGAGGAAAAAAAATTAATTAACCAACAGAAACCTCACGTTTACACGTTCATCAGTGTGCTTCGGCTGAGGCGGCAGGCCAACCTGGTCTGTGAACAATGTAGGAACGAGAGATGTAAGGGACGCCGTCGACGACGGTCTGGCAGCTGAAGAGGCCGGTGTTGTACAAGGTGGGATTTTTGATGATGAAACCTTCCTCGCTTTTCCAAATGATGTTCGGGCCTGGAAACGGGACCGGCGTAAAGAAGTTCTGTGGGAAGAAGCAGGAAGAGGAATCACATGCTTTGCAGAACTATAATGATGAGCTCAGAGCTGTGACAGTACATTCCAGCAGATCGGACGTTTAATAACATGAMGTGAAGTGATCATGCAGAAATGAATCACCTCAGAAAGTTGTTGAGTAATCTTCTGAGTAATTGTTAATTTAGTAATGAGCTACTTTTAATAACGAAAGTAATCTACATTTTAGACGTTTTTTTTAGGGGATTTGGCAACTTTTTCCACACAAGTTGTGTAATGTACCAAAACTCTGACGGCATATTGTGGAATTTGTGCCTAAAAATGAAAAATAGACAAGAGGAGGTAAAACAAGAAGTGCCAAGTATAAAAAACTAACTACAGAAGAGGAACGGTATAGCTGAAAGTTGTCTTTATCTTTCAATGGGATAACCTGTGGCTAAGTGCCTAAAAACCCTAATTTAAATTTGTTCCTTGGAAAGCTATCTGTTGTATTGTATGTTGACTAGGGTTGGGCATAATYRTATTGTGTKCAATTAATCATCAGAAAAACATTAATCGATTATTTTTTGGCACTTGACGATTAATACGATTAATGCCACCAGAGAGACTGACTGSGGATTACTCCGGTCAGTCCGCTYGGTGCTCCTCTCCGCTTCAAATATGATGAACATTAACAAGAAAGTKCTGTAATTTATTTTATCAACACAATTTAAAATTTGATGTACAGCCTGAAGTCTGTAATTTTGACACAGTTTGGTACAGATTTTTTACAAAGAGCAAATCTTTCCCWCTAAATTGGTCATGTGACTAGGACRTAAGGRTGYCAAGGGACTCCAGGGGATTRATCGTCAAAATAATCGTTATCGGCTAAATACCACAATTAATAGTGATWAWTTTTTTTGCCAATATTGCTCAACCCTAATGTTGACACAAYGTTCTTTAAGACCCACTTGTGTAACTGATTTTGACAGCCCCACTGCAGAAGATTAAAGCTCCATCCTCTCCGTTGTATTTCTTGATCGGACACTTGTGTAACTTATATAACCTTGTTGTTTTCTTTGAGGCAGCTACTCGGAAATGTTTTTTTTCAGTGACGTGGAAGCCTCCCACCCTTTCTCGAGGGAAAAGATAGACCCCGCCCCCCGCCGCCTTCATCGCACGCCGCTGCACCCCCAGTGTGAACCGACTGATATCCCCCCTCCCAGAGTGAGGTGACCCTCTAAGACGCCTCTGACCCCTTTGTCCTCCCCTCTCAGGTCCTGTGCAGTGGGTGCTTCCCTCCACCTCCTCGRTCCGAACTCACTGACGCCCTGTCTGAGCGCGCTCAGTGCCCTCCATGGCCCTTCTCCCATCCATCCTACTGTACATGGAGACAAGGTGACGATGAAGGTGGCAGCAGAGGAGGAGCGAAGGAGTCAGGATATGTGAAACGTGACTCCTTGCGTCCTGTTACTACAGGATATAGACATTTCGACTGGAACCGCAGGTCAGCCCCGTCATCCCGGGCCTCACTTTCACAACTTAAGTGAGCAAGCAGAGCCTTGTGGGTATTGTTCGAGTTGAGAAGGGTCAGAGCAGAGACCCTGGCAAAGTGCAAATTCCTCCCAGGAAAAAAACACTCCAGAGGCTGTGACAGTGAGAAGACTCCTGGTTCAAACCGGCCAGCGCAGGGGAAGAGGAGGGAGGTGAAGGAAGAGGAGGAGAGTTATTTTTAGACTAATTACCTTAGCTCTTCCAGATATTTGTCAGGAATTGGAGGCAGAACAAAAGCATGTGTGTGAAGACATGACATGCACGACCTGGTGCGATACACCTCCTTTATCCTAAACATTTAAGGTTCCCCAACATTTGTTTTTGTTTATTTAGTCCAGACCTTTTTTAATTGCCCCTCCATGACTGTGGCTGCTTTTTTGAAAGAAAAGTCTCAAGAAATAGTGGCTTATCTGGACACYTCCTGCCCCTGACGTTTTCATCTCCATCTTCTACCACGTATCCACAGGTGGGTTGTGGAGCCAATAGGTCCAGGAAAGAAACCCAGTCATTCCTCTCCCCGCTGACACTCTCCAGCTCTACCTGGGGTATCCTCAAGCATTCCCAGGCCATAGAAGATGCACACTTCCTCCAGTGAGTTCTGAGTCTTCCTCAGAGTMTCTTCCCAGTGGAATGTGTCTGGAAAGCCTCCAAAGTCAGGCGTCCAGGAGGCATCTTAATAAGATGCTTGAACCACCTCAGCTGACCCCTTTTGTTGCGGAGGGGCAGCAGCTACTACAAGCTTCTCCCCACAGATGATGGCGTGCCTCACCCCATCTCTAAGGCTGAGCCGGGCCACTCCAAGGAGGAAAGCTCATTTCTGACATTTGTATCCAGGATCTTGTTCTTCCGGTCATGTTCCAAGCGTAAATCGAGGAAATGGAGAGCTTTGCCTTTTGACTCAACTCTTTCTTGACCATGACTGACCGAAGCAATGCCCTCATTACTGAGGACCAGTCCATCGCTCCACCGTTGCTCCTGAACAAGACGCCCAGACTCTTAAAGTCCTCTACCTGAGGTAAAGCTTATCCGTCAACCCGAAGGGTGTACGGTGTTCTGCTGGTATGTGCACTGTAAGTGTTACAATTATAAAACGTATTAATCTCTATAAATAATTGTGTAATGCTAAATTAAACAGAGTTATTTAACAGTTAGTTAACAGGCTTATTAAATTAAGTTTGCACAAATGACCATATTTTATTTTACTGGAATTGCTCCAAGACGGAAGGAATCTACCACAATCTTACTCTTTTGTAAGATCAAGATTTCTGTCAGTAACACTCAAAGTTGATTGAGGGCCAACAGAAGCCTTGACTATTTCAGTCCTGTCAGCTGTTTAAAGCATCAGTTAGGGAAAGTTGTCAGCTATTATTCCTCAACAAGAAGAGGAGGGTAAGCTGTGGGAAGTGGTAATGGCCAGTGGCCAAGAGGACCGCGTCCTGTTTCCAGAGAGGTACACCGATGCCAGCACGGATCCTCGTTGTATCGGAAATGGGCACTGTAGCGTACACAGTACCACTTTACACAAACACACACAGATACGCATGCAGACAGCGAGTGCTCTAAAGGCTTCKGTCCGCTCTCCTCCTCACTCAACACTCAAGTGCCAACACTCACAAACATATCCGCACACACTTTCACACATATCCGCAAATGGACACAAACAAACGGACACACACACGCCACACTGTGATGGCTGCCAAGACGAGAACAATGTGGTGAATGATCCTGACGGGGAGAAATGGCGCGTCTGCGTGTGCACAGGACAAGAAGCGAGGATGTTCGCATGGCTGTGAGGGATGTGGCCGAGGAGGACAGAGTGTGACGTGAGTGCAATCCCATGTAGGACTCTGAAACGAGTCGGAACACGTGATAGAAACAGTTTGTGCACTAACCTTGAGCAGTGTGGCGGTGATGTTGGGGTGGGTGACCCTGCAGGGGATGACCAGTGGCTCCTTCACCTTCATGTACAACACATCTGTGCTCATTCCTTCGTGTTCTACAAATGGCTGCCGGCTGTCTGAAACCCAAACACTGCGGTCAGGGACACACATGGTGCACAGAATAAGCATGCAAAATAATAAGAAGAATAAGCAAAAAAATAAATAAAAAAAGGCCTCGAGCCAATTTTTTTTATTCCAACCTCATCTTCTTCACTAAAATAGGGCACTTGATGTGTGGCATGAGATGCAAATAATAGCTGGAAGTGTATCATTAATTGTGCATTAGTTTGTTTTTGTGCAAACACCAAATGTTTGGTGACTGGAATTTTATGTAATATGTGACGTACACTGATGCAAAATATTTTTTGCAACGTTTTAGTATTCCTTGTTTCCAAATAAAATGATCAAACTGGAACTTTGGATGTTTTACTGCAACTTTAAACAAAAACCACAATGCAGACTAAATTTATCATACGTTTTTCTGAGAATATATAGCCCAAAAACTTTTGCAAGTTAATACACATAAAAAAATAAAAAAGGAAATAAAATTCTGTCTGATTTTACTCCCCAACACACAAACCAAGAATCGCACATGCACTTCCAAGCATCTCAGCAATAAACAAAAACAGACACACACTCCAAAATATACACTGTCCTCCACACCCACTCACAGAATACCCATTCAGCAGATGACAGCTTGTGGTCAACAATAAACAAACAGATTGTTTAGAAGCAAACAAACAGCCTCTCTGTGTGTTTTCTCAGCTCTGCTCGGCTACAGTAAAACGTCTGTGCCATTCAAAGGTGTGGGTGTTGCTCGCTGTATTGTTTGTGACCRTAGGGTGTTATTCTAGGAAAGCAAATCTCTGAACCTTCGAACAAAAGTACCCCAAGGACTAGTAGACCTGAAGGCTTCCTTCTCTCGCTTTGATTCCTAATAGAAGACTGGAGGAGGGAGGCAGCGTCTGAACCGAGCTGCAGGCCAAGTGCGATGCTTAATGGACATGGTGACCCGAGCGATTGATGGCCCCCCCGGGGGCCCCGCTGGCCAAACAGTAGCGTGCCCTGTGACCCTGGCGTGCGGCCCAGCTCTGCTACTTGTTGCGGCTCGAAGGCTAGCCAGCGTCACCTTCCAGGACAGGGAGGAGCAGCCGGGGGCAGACATCGTGCCTCCTCTGCCCTCGCACACCACCAAGTCACGGGCATTCTTCTCATCCTCGCACACGCACGTAAAGTGCACTTCCGCACGCAGCTTTGTAAAGACACA